AACGAGACTTTTATATAACATATGGTAATATGAATTGATATGTAATACGAAATCAAATGTATTTCATTTTGAACACAAGATTACAAACATTGACTTTAATTCAAAATCACTTATTTGTGACCATTTTTATACAAGTGATGGACAGGTGTTTATATGGGGACAGTTCAGGTCTAGAATTTCAAAACGCCCACAACTATTGGCCAATGTATTTAATATACACAGTGTTTGCTTAGATTATAGGGAATTTATTTACTTTCTATCAAACGATGGATTCATATATTTCTATGATTCTGATGACAAATGTATGAATAGATTAACACATATTGTATTCAATGAACTCAAACAAATATATTTGTATAACAAGTTAACTGGAGTAATTGTGGGCAAATCTGGTCATCAAATATATGAAATTTCTTGTAAACAACCCTTTGATACCAATTATACATCATTTGATGATTACTTTTCACGTAAATTGCAAATCACTTTCAATACAATTTCAGCACATAATCAACAAAATACTGTCCAAAACCAAGTGAATGAAACAGACATATGCGGTAAATAAGGAATTCAATTTTTCGTATTTATTATATTCATAGAAATAAATATATACCGCAGTAGTATTCATTATATTCTGTAGTATTTTACAATAATCTTTACGATATGAACTCTCACTCTTAGAAAATGTAACATTAGAGTCATTTGATGAAATTGATAAACTTGGTGAGGGTGGCTTTGGACAGGTGTTCAAAGTTAAAAACAAATGTGACAAACGTTCATATGCAATTAAGAAATGTCCACTAAATGGTAATTAATTTATTTTATATCTGATATACAAATTATAGTCATTATTTTTATTTGTTTCAAAAGGTTTGACAGAAAAAGAGAAACAAAATGTTTTGAATGAAACGCAGTCTTGTGAAACTTCGGTCAGAGTTTGTGATTCAATACTACTATTCATGGATTGATAAGAAAGACAATTATCTTAACATTCAAATGGAGTTATGTTTCGATAATTTAACAAATGTTTTGAAAAATATGAAATCATTGGTTAAAGAAATGAATATTACTCAGTTTTATATATTCTATCATATATTTCGTGAACTCACAGAATGTGTGCAATATTTGCATCAAAAGAATATCATTCATAGAGACCTCAAACCGGATAATGTGTTGATTTCAATGGACGGAGAGATAAAGTTATGTGACTTTGGTTTGGCTAAAGAGGTCCGAAATTGTGATCTATTTCTTATGTCTAAACCAATACATACGGCAGATGTCGGGGATCTGTCATATCAGGCACCGGAAGTAAATTCAGATCCAACTGATTACGACCATAAGATAGATATCTACAGTCTATCCCTAATTGTGGCTCAAATTTTTGGGTTCGATACAAACGATATAAAGAACGGTTTGTATGTATGTTTTGTTTATGGACATTGATATTGATATACATGTTCAGAGGTTAATACCGGACCTGAGGTCAGATGAACTTCATAGTTATTTGATTAAGTTAAAGTGCCTAATTATTGGATTTACAAGTTAGGTATATTCTGATCTCTGAATATGGATAGAAATTGATATATATATCAAATAATTACTCCATTTTTATACATTAATTATAAATAATAGTCTTTCTAATTTTAGAATTAAAGTTACAAGAACATATTGTCAAGATTTAGTTGAATTAATGCATAAAATGAATGCCTTATTGGTGTCAATGAGTGTTAATATGTATTCACAAAACGGTTCAACAGATTGGAGGCANTTGTCAATAACAATGAGTGTTAATATGTATTCACAAAACGGTTCAACAGATTGGAGGCAAAGACCCGAATGTTCGCACATTTTATCACAATTGCAGACATTTATGACAAATAAACCCATTATTGGAGAAAATGAATTCAATTCAGTATTTGATGCTATGATTGACAGAAAATGTGACATTTTATATAAAATACTAATGAGAAGCAAACCTCATTGTATAATCCGGATGTCTAATGAAAACATAACTAATGGTTAGACTTTTGAATAACAACAGTATATTGTTATTATGGTAGATTGTTTTAATTGCCTCAAAATTTTTGAAATTTTCAGATAAATCACAAATGAATGCAATAAATGAGTCGATGTTTGAAACAATTAGCGAACAAGTTAATGAGTATCGTTATAAAATATATTTCGTGAGACATAAACTGACTCAACAAACGTATTCATTATTCAAAATGAAAAATATTGAATATAGGGGTAAGAAATAACTAACCAGATTACAGTAAATATTTACAGTTAAATATGAAATATATTTAATAAACAGGTCTCGGGTTCGTCCCGATCTCTACCTTTTCATACAATTAGTCTTTTCAATGATTTCTACCCCTTTTCACTCATTTATCTGATGATAGACTATAAAATTAAGTTATTGACAAAACATTTCAAATGAAATATATTTTATTAAACTTAAAAAATACTGTACCATGTTCTATCATTTATAATAGATATGATGAAAATGAAGGACTTCTTAATGGATATCCAGAACTCATTTGATGTAAAGTGGAAACATGTGGTCAAATATGACTCATCATGGATTGAACATGGTCATCTATTCATTCAAATGCAATTATGTTCGCAAGAAGATCTCAATATTTATTTTTTGTAGCAAAAAAATCATTTTTCAGCGAATTTTAAGGATTCCGATCTGATAGTATCATGACAAAAATAAATAGTTTTCAAAAAATTTTATTTTAATCCAGCTCATTTCTAACCTATATTAATATTAAATTTAACGCAACGACTTATCAGTATTTTGGCGAGACTTGTAATAATACTGTATATTATAATAATTAAATACAATTAAATATATTAATGTATATGTTACATCAATAAATGTATTTAATATACGACTGAGAGCAGGGTCATTTCACTTTTAGTTTGGTTAACATCACTAATGAAATGTTTATTTTTTAAAATAAAAAAGTATTAATAATTAGTTTAAAACTTTTATTTTGAACTAAAATGACACAACAGATGCAACTCATAGACCACACAAGCATTGCTTCATTCATGACATGCACTCAACTTTTGTTGACACAAAGAGTGCGAACGCAATGGAAATCGTGAACAACACTCGCATACAAACTGTTGACTAGTATTGCATTGACTGCCATAAGAGCGCTATATTTGAGTCACTGTTTGGTTGTTGTGTTTGTGTTGTGTTTGTGTCACACGTTATCACAAACACGTCCAACACATCCACACTATCACCACAAACACGTCCAACACATCCACACTATCACCA